GGAAGAGCTACTTATCAAAATGTGATCTTGTCTGTCTAAAACATTGAAATCCTGTGCTAAGGACCAGATCCTCCTCTTAGTTACAGCGTGGCAAATCCTACTTATGAATTTCCCCTGGTGCCAGTGCTGTGATAATTTACTGAGGCAACCACACATAAATAGTGCACAAATCAGGCAACGATGCACGTGAGAGAAAGCACTCAGCACTTTTCTCCTTCCACAAGAGGGCAGCTGCATCCTACAGCCAACGGCGCCCTACAGGCAATGAAGGCAGTGAGGCACTGCATAGATTGCCCAGAGAGGAGGTGCAGACACCCAAGGTCAGGGAATGGGGCTCTGAGCACTGATGGAGCTGTGGGTGTCCCTGCTCAGTGCAGGGTTGGACCTGACGGCCTTTAGGGTCCCTCCCAACTCACTGTAGACCTTTTCAGTGATAGATTGGGTGTGTGACAACTGGTGACATCAGTCATCGGCTCATTGTTACCTTTATTTTTCATCTCTAAACCATAAAGCTACAAAAGAAAAAATAATAATAACCCTAAGCAGAAAGGCTGGCTATTTGCAGACAGCATGCTGTCTATTAACCAAGCTCCCATACACCTAGCTTAAATGCCCAACATGATTTAAACAGGCAAAAACGGCAGTGTGGAAAGGTACCCATCACTACAAATGGTACTGGGTCTCCTTCCCAACACACAGAAGGGTTTTTCTAAGATCAATTTCAAACCTTCATGCATCACATGGAATAAAAAGCCTTGCTTTAAGACCAACCCTTGCCCCAGACTCCTGTGGGTTTGCGGGAGAATGAAATAAATCATTGCCCGAAGGCAAAGAACACACACTGAAGAAATGGCAGAGGTGAACAGCCCAGGGCTCAGAATGCCTCTAAGTCTTCCATAAGCACTTTGGTCAGGAGGATATCACACTGTAATCAGAAAAGGCAGAGGGAAAGCTAATTGTCTCATTACGTTGTGGTTATAAAGGAATCTGGTGACAGCACAGATTGGTTCTGTTTAAACAAGGGAAATTCTGAGCAAAACTCCCAGCAGTGGTAGCAGTGTTCGCCTCCCCAGCATCGATGCAGGCTGAGCCCTGAGTTGTGCTACCACCAGCTGATGGAGCCCTGCTATCCAGAATCGTGTCTGGGCTGATGATAGACAAGAGAGGAAGATTTTAAAGAAAAATGCCCCCCCTACCATGCCTGAATCAGAATGGGCATCACCCAAAAGAAGGGAAGGGATCAGGGGGGCAGTGAGGGGGGAAAAGGAAAGAACTCATGGAAAAAGCAGTGCTTTATCATAGGAGAGCTCAGGAAGAAGGCAGCAGGAAGGAAGAGCATTTGTGTTCTTCCTGCTTTTGTTGCCAAAAATCTCAGCTTTAGGACATTTCTAATGTATTTCTGGTGCTATTTCTCCTTGCTCCAGAGCACTTACAGGAATGGTCAATTAGCCAGTAAGAAAGATTCATATTTTTGCCTCTTCCTGCTTATATTGTGGGAAGGATTCCCTCCTCCTTCTGGAATACCTTAAGAAGCACTGAAGAGTGTGATGTAAATCATGTTTATCTGCAACAACCACACAGCTTTTCTTCATCAAGATCTCCAATAAATTTTACAGAATAAACAAATGTTAAGAAACAGACTGAAACATAGCAATCCTGCTGAGTTATATTCCATTTTTAAAAAATCTTTTCCTCTTTTCACTGTTCCTTTTTCTTATCCACTCTCTTGTGTGAATCTCATGACAGACAGAAACAGGACTCAGCAGATTTGGCCAGGAAAATTCACAATTTCAGCACAATGTCACTTTTCAAGGCAGCATTAGTACTGTTGTCCCACTGAAGTAGATGGAGATAAGAGGCTGAATTTCACTATTCCATGCATACAGGCAAAGAAAGGCTTCTGATTTAGCAGGAAGATGACCTTAGGGGTCTTTCCCAGCCTTAATGATTCTATGATTCTACATCTTATGAAAGAGAAGACCACAATTCATGCGTAAGATGCTCAGATTGCTCTACAATGGGATGGCCTGGGATCCCTTGGCCTTGTCATTTCATTGACCTACTAGGCCAATGTTGGTGTTGGGTTTTTCCTTCTTTAATGGGCTGACAATGAAAGCCCACTTGAAAACAACAACAACAAAGAACTAAACATATTTGACACAAAGCATTAGGGTTTTTCAGCATTTCTTTTTGACAATTTCCACAATCACATTTGCTATCCCAATTTAAATAACAGTCATTGCAAAGATGGCGCTGAACTCAGCGGGCTAGTCTGCAATTCAGTCATGACAAGGTTTGACTCATTTATTTATGGTCTCTGGAGCTCACAAAGCCATGGTGAGGCAGAGCAAGAAGTCAGCTTACTACAAATAAGCTGTAAGTCAGAAAGAAAGTGTATTATGGTTAAAAAAAAAGGAGAGAGAAAAGAAAATCTACCAGCATTGGCTGTTCTAGAACTGACTAATACTGTAGCAAAACAGCCAGCTCTTTTTCAAACTTTTATCTAAATTCTGTCAGCACGAAAAAAAGTTGATAATGAAGGATTTCAAGTAGTCAAGCTTCACACTTGTTATTAATGAGAGCTAACTGAAAATTAAAGCAAACTCCAAACTCAGCAAGGTTGACATAATCCAGGTAACTGATGATTTCGCAGCGAGTCTGAATGCTGACCATGAGTAATAGAAAACAGAATTCATTACTGTCCTCTTCATTTTGTGGGCTGACCAAAGTGATGGCAAATAGCAAGAACTAATTAAAGCAGCTGGCATTCAGCAGACCTGATATGCTGACCCGAATGCCCCCCTAAGAACTCCTCAGTGAGTAAGGACTGCAAATTCTGATCCTAGGGAAGAAAAGAAGGATCAGTGTACTTCAGGAAGGAGATGATGGCAGGGCAGAAAGGACCAGGGGGAGGTAGAGCAAACTTGCCACGTGGGAGGGGAATTTACAGCTAAAGACATTAGGCAAACTCCTACTCTTACTGTAAGAGCCATGAGGATCTTTTTCAAACTTCTATGTAGAGGACTTGGTTATGCTCAAAGATCTAATCAGAGGCAGTTTCTTATTAAAAATCTCCAATAGCCCATGTGCTGTGCTGCACCATTCATTTACAGACAGGTATCTTAAACGAGCACATGCCAATACTTCCACCACAGTTTCAGGGCCCAACCCAGCGGGCAATCAGCCACCAATTTGACCTTACCTGTGCAAAGAGCCTCTGTGACTGATCTTTGGGTTTTGTTGTTGGCTTTTTTTTTTTTTTTTCCATGCGTACCTAAATGACAGGCAGGGAAATTACCTGGATTTACGCCAGGCTCTGAGGGCTCAATGCCACACGATGCAGTGGTGAGGAGGGGGCAAATGGGGCGGAGGGGGGGAGCAAACACACAAGTGCCTCAATGATATGATTTGAGCTGGGAGCCGACTTGCATCCACAGCTTTGTGTGAGCAGCGCCCCGTGTTTATTCTGAGTTGCTCTGATGCAGAAAAGAGCCCATTCATGGGAAAGTCGGTGTCAAAGGGGTGGGCGGATGTAAAGAGGAAGGTATTTTATTGTTTCGTTTGCCTCTTTACACCTTTCATTTTGCTAGACCTGACTCACATCAGCACAGCGAGCCCAAGCAAAGTTCTGTAAGGAATGTGCCTGGCACAGAGCATTTGGCTCTCTGGGCAAAAATGAGAGATTTATTCAAAGTAAATGAGGTCAGTCCCACATTCTAATGAAATCTTTCCTCATTTTCTAGCCGGGATGTGCAATGCCAAAAAATAAAAATAAAAAAAGACTCAAATCGTAGCTATATCTGCTGGTCCTGCCTGCAAAGTTCCCAGAAAGGGCAAACTGCTGCTTTGTGACAGCCCTGCTTTATCCTTTTATCACCCGTTATCACAGAGCCTGTTTCTGTGGATGCTCACCTCCCTGCATGCAACTGCTGGGGAAAAAAAATCAGCCCAGGGTGCCCCCAACCCTCTGCCAGATCCTTGGTCCTACAGGGCTGTAGGATCCCCCCCTTACCTGTGGGGCTCCCTGGATGTCCTGGAGAAGCAGCAGGAGCCACAGTCTCAGTCTTAGGCTGCAGGAAGCCATCTGCAGTGGCATTAGCTTTCCTGAGCTTCCAGCATTGCAGGTCAGACAACCAGGTTGCTCCTCCTGAAGTCTGGAATCCTCGCAGCGTCCAGTCCAACCTCGCTCGGCGTCTGCTCACTAAGTCCAGGGCCACTCCAGCTGTTCAAGACATGAAGGCAACAGATTTGAGACTCAATCAGGCTGAGAAAACAATTTGGAAGGAAGCAGGAGGGGGCTGCCCAAAAAAAGAAAAGTTAAAAAAAAAAAAAAAGAACAAAACAAAACCACTTCAAATGCTACTCCCCGAGCTGTTGGGTTTCTATGAGTCAGATGCATGCATCAGGGTTGTTACCCGAGGATGTGTCTGGCTGAGCAGTAATGCAGACTGCCCCTATTCATCTGAGGCATCGTAGGCTGTCCTCAGAGCACTCCCCAAAGCTTTGGTCCAGGCATGAGTCCAAGCCCTGCCCTGTCCACTATCAGAGCAGCAACCAATCCTTGAGAGACTTCTCAATAAGAAGCAGTGTTTCAGTACAGCTACGTCACTGCTGTTGAACCAAATGCGTGAAAACTCTGAGTGACCACCTTTAGCTTCTGCATGGTGCCATTTAAACACCAGTACATTGTAGAGCATCCTCATGAATCCTTTCTTCCTTCCAACCCCACGTGAAATCAGTTCCTGCTGCTGCCAGTTATCCCTTACATACGTATACTTGTTTTGGTGCTCTGGATAATGTTTGGTAGCATGGAAGGATTTCTGTTTATTTAAGGAGTCTTGCAGCCTTCTTATCTGCCCTGAAAGTTTTATCAAAAGTAAAAGTTACCCACTTCAAAAAAAGGCAGACTGCCTTGAAAAATCTCACTGAGGCACCCAGGAAAACGATGAGAATTTGTATTCTCACACCCATGTTTCTGTGCTTCTTTTCACACTTATCAGCAGAGAGAGAAAAGAAAGAAAAGATTCGAAGCAGGATAACTGGTGATTGCATTGCCAGCTACCTCATTGCCACCGAGACTGAGAGGCAGAGATGAGAGCGTCCACAGGGACCCAAGGATGAGGTACGTATCAGCTCTAACTCACTGCTGTAACCCTTTCTTTCTCAACAACGCCACCTTATGAAGTCAAAATAGTCATTTTCAGAAGATTGCATACTGCGTTCTTGAGATATACTTTTAGATGCTCTTTTCACCACTTCACCAGCTTACTTCTTGATGCCTAAGTGCTCTTTAGAAAAGCCAACTTTTCTTTGAGGTCTAGAGACAGCTAAGCATTTGAATGCCCAAATACCACATTCTTCTTTTTCCTAATTAAATAACAGGCTAGAAAATGTCTTAATCTTGTGCAGTAATACACCGTTAGGCAATGCTCACAGTTTAAAAGTGCTTTCTCAAATGCCACCAGAAGCAGGTGAGGAGCCTGTGTTTAATAGCAACGTTCCAAACTGAATACGTTTTTCATTTCAGAGTTGGTGTGTTTTGATCTCAAACACAGTGATAGGGGCTTTCCAGCAGGAGCCCTATCAGTAACTGGCACAGAAGCATCTCAGCTTTCAAACAAACCCACGCTGCCATTCTCTAAACATTGCCTGGGTTTCCTAGAAAATAATCCTCCATGCAAGTTCAAAATAATAATAGAATTGAACAAATCGAAGCAAACAAACAACCCCCATTTCTCTGTTCTTCTGTCAGGGGATGATGCCTACCATATAAATGGAAAAGCCTCTATGAGCATGCTATTATTAATTGAAATGCTGATTTGATTACATGCACCTAACATCAAACCTCCTTTTGTTGTAGGTGAAATACTGAAGATAAAGTTGCTTGGCGTTTTCTCTTTCAGCAGTTTAGCCAATATTTAGCTAATTTTCACTGCAGCTGATCTGTGCTGCTCATCTCCATGTGCTGCATGGGGCTGAGGGGCTCAGAGAAGATCCTGTAAGTCAGAGGTTCCTCCAGTGTCGCTGGACAAGTGGAGCAAAAGAGCACATGGAACCATAAGTAATGGAGGTAAGCCACAAGAAGTCTCTAACTCAGACCCAAGCCATTCTTTCAGCACATTCTGTGTGCTAACAGAGGGAAGGAAGCACTGAGAGAATACTACAGAAGCAGCATAGTCACACACGTTTGAACAAAAGCTCTCATGGCATTTTCTAATGTTGAGATGGCTGATTTTAGTCTCACATGCACTGGTAGCATAGCTCCTCGTGCTCTTAAACACATAACTGGGACTAAAACCACATATCATCTCTCAGCATCACTAGACACATAAAGGAGATCGCTGAATTGAAAAAGACACATCAAAATAACCTTGTCTAAAATCTGTATTTCAGTGTCTGTCAGCACTGCTATTTAGAGCACCACAATGCACTGATGAAAAGCACTGCAACATCTTGCTGCTCGGCTTGATGAAACAACACCAGATGCTGAAACTCCGCTGAAACTCAGCAGTAGGAAAGGGAATGTTTGGTGGGATGCATGCTGCGTAACACAGAGGTACGACCTGCAGTGAGAACACTCAAGATCCTAATATTTTTAGGTATTGTAAGTGAAGTCAACACATTGAACTTCTCTGGAAGGAACTCAGAACCCAAAGAGGGTGGGTGGAAGGGTGATACTGGTGCAACATGATCTCACTGAGAAACATCACCTAGTAGGCAAGCAATGGGAGTCTGAACAAGCTGTAGCTGACAGCAGTTGAACCTGTATAAGTAGTGTTACACATTCAGTATCTCATTTATGTTGAGTATGCCACAGATCTGCAAGATTCTATCCCTCTGCGCCTATCTTGCATTGATCCTTACTTTGTGCCACATATTCTTTGTATTAAATACTCATCAATCCACTTAATTATGTCTCATTAACCAAGACACACTGAAGTGTGGAAAAATACAGTGCAGGAGCTCTTGACAACGTGACCTGTGGAGTTACAGTGATTTACCAGTTTACCTTGATATATTTGTCCACTGTGATCAACAAGTACACAGGCTGTTATATACTTGTTTAAATATAGCAATGACTTAAAACAAGAGTTCCCAGCAGGAAAAAAATGGGTTATAATAAGGTGGGATCATAATAAAATCCCAATACACAGGGGAAATCCCAAGTCACTTCTGCAACAGTAGCTTCAGTAGGCAGTTTCACATCATTTCTGTGCTCTAGTAAAAGTAATAGAAAAAGAAATTAACTTCCTTGCTTTATACAGAGTTTCGCACACATGCAAACCAGCAGTCTATAAGGAGAACCAACCAGTTTGTGTTTGTTTGTGACTGGGGACTTTTGCCTCAGTCGGCTGCTCTTGCTGAACACAGAAAATTCCTTGGCAATTAAGGAACAGCCAACGGAAGGAGATGCATCCTGGTCTTTGTTCCCAAAGAATAATGTGTTTATTTTTTATTATTACAAAGAACAGTGTCAAAAAGTACCTACCCAAAACTGCCAATTCCCAATGAGGAAAGTTCAGAAGTGCTGTTACCAGTAATTGCTTGCTGACTCTGAGCCATAAGTTGGAAGAGCACTCCAGAAAGCAGAGAACCTCTCTCTTCTGGGAGGAAAAGGATGTCCTCAGCTGATTTGAGTCTTTCTGCAAGAAGTCCTGCTTCAGCCAACATCTGTAAACTCTCACACAACGCCCATCCACTAATTTCATTCCAACTGCTTCCATGTGAACATAACCTCACTTTAAATAGTACATAGGTTGCTCTGAAAGTATTCATAGAATCTCTCAGGTTGGAAAAAACCTTAAAGATCATCAAGTCCAACCAGTGCCTCCGTATTTCAACACAGTCAGCACCATTAGCAATGCATTTTCATCAGCAGTGAACGACAGCCTGCATGCCACACTTGTAAAACACTCCACCAGAGGAGGTCAGGCTCTGTCACGCTGCTCAAACACAACACTCACCCCTCACTGTGTTCACATCCACTGCTTGGTCTCCATAAACGTTCAGCAAACACTGATGAATGTCAATGGGTGCCATTTTTTTTCCATGTGGAGAGATTCAGTTCCACACTTTTGCTTCATATGCACTCCTGTGCCAGACACCATTCCATCACATCACCTATCTGCTGCTGTAAAGCCACATGGCAACAGCATGCAACAGGATCTTGGTGGGAAGGTTCAGCCTCCACGGCCATCCCATCAACCTCTGTCTCTGACATTGTGGGCCAATATCACACAATAGGAGGCATTACTTTCAGAGCAGCCTTCAAACAGCGTGTAGCAGTGCTACACTTTCGCCTTCTAGAAATACCAAAGTCTCTATTGCTAGGCTTAAAATATCAAATTTTCTCAATTTCTGCCACCAAAGATTTGGGCTTTTTGTTTATACGCGAAAGCAGACATGATGATACGTCTGTAATTTTACCCTTAGAATGGTTTAGCTTGGAAGGGACATCAAAAATCATCTGGCATGCCACGTGCAGGGATACCTTCCAGCAGATCAGGCTGCCCAAAGCCCCATCAGACCTGGCCTTGAGTACCTCCAGGAAGGGGACATCCATAACTCCTTTGGGCAGCTGGGATATTCACTTTTTGATTGGGTTAAATCACTGAAAATTTCGATTGAAGCAAAAACTGTAAGCAGCTAAAACGTGTCACATGGATCATCTGAACAGTAGTGATAATGGCACCTCGTTTTCAATCAATATTCTTTTACAAATGTAGTTCATATAAAGTCGACGTGGGTAACAATTTTAGAAGTCTGTTTTTACCCTCTCAACTAATTCTACTACTTTATAGAGGGAGATAAGTAACAGAAGAGGGAAAAAAAGAATCTATGTAAAATGTCTTTTTTTCAGTGCACAGTAGCTTCAAAACTGAAGCACATTTTGAGTCAGACTGAAAAATGAGAAGAGCTGACAGAGAACTCTGTGCACTCGGGAAAGACTTGGCTTCCATGAAAGAAACCAAAACCAGATCACAGAATTACTATGCCCACAGGCTGGCTGAGAGAGAGATGACCTTAGAAAAAAGATCACATCATGTCTGTACTTTCAGTAATTCCAACTGCAGCTTCTGAAAGAGAGCTGGGTTTGCACGTTGCCATTCTCCACAGAGAGTGAGATGGTACTTGACAGACATGAGGTGGTATTTGAATACTGCTTGTATTGAACCCTTCAACAGTGCATCTTCCACAGTCAAGAGGACTGCTACTTGACCATTACAGCTCTATGGAAAATGGTGGGCAGCAAAGGCTGGGCAGGAACTATCGTGTGAAGGCCCTTCATGCCCTTCCTTCAACGTCCCTAGTGCCAGTTTAATTCAATGCAAAAGTCATCCTGCTGACACGACCCAACAGCAGTCGCTCTCCCACATGCCAGCCGTGGCACTCAGACAAATTAATCCACAAGCACCCACTTCTGACTTTCGCTTGGTTTTAAATCATGTCACAATCTTTGTCTGGAGTACTGCAAAGCTCATGGTTTCCTCTCCCCAACCACAAAATGCAGGAAGACTTCAACAAAGCCATCAGCTGCGTGAAAGAACTGGTAAAAGGCAAGAAACAAAGCACGCGCTTGCCTCCAGCTAGTTTCTAAACGTACAGAATGTCTGCCTACAGAGCCCATTAACTGCAGCAGTTTGCAGTAAATTCACCTCTTATTTCATAACTTCACCCACGCAGAAAGTCTACTTGAAGTCTGCAGTTGTAGCCACAGAACCATGCTCAAGGTTTACATGATTTGATTTTGATTGCAGTTATTCTTCTCAGGACTGCTGAGCTTCACCTGGCCCATAAATATCTTGGGTTTTTTTACTTCATACACAATGGCCACGACGGTTAAAGGAAAACTTCACATCACTGTGTTCCCACCTGGGTTTTCAAGAGCAAAACCAGACTTCCTTTATAGCGACTTTCCCTTCATCATCATTGTATTCCCCACCAGAATACAACCAGAAACTGAAACTAGGAGGAAGACTGACTCCTTTAGTTTTAGAAGAATCAACTCAAGGGATGAAACAGCCTAGAACCAGGAGAAACTCCCAACCAGGACTGCAGAGGAAGGAGGCCAGCTGAGTAAGGAGGAAAACAACTGATGAGGGAAGCTTGGACTGATCAGATACTGAAAATAAAAGCTGCGTTAGAGGGAGGTTGCATGTGCAGAGAGATTTTAATGACAAATTTATTAAATGCTGAGCACCAACGTTACGCTGAGACTCAGTTCTTTGTACTCCAGTCTAGGAGTTTTACTCAAGATTTTCTTGTGCACTGAAACAAACCCATCAGATCCAGTTTTCACCCCCAATTTTTAGAAGGTGCCACTCAATTATGAGCAGAAGCAAAATGGAACATCTGCTCATGCATTCAACAATTTCCAGTCTGTAATTCCAGCAGAAGATGCTATGTAAATTCACTGAAAAGTACTTCAGAAGCTTGAGATTCAAGCATGGGACAGAACCAAAGAGGTAAGAGGCATTTGCAGGGCCCTGTCATTTCACAGATCTACTTTCAGATATGTTGCTTGTGTGAACTGACAGGTCGTTGCAGGTACATTCATTTCAGAAAAGCATTTAACCCAGGAAGTTCACCTGTAAGGCACTGAACAATTCCCAAACAAACTGCTTGTTTCAGAATGAAGCAGATCTCCATCATCTACAGGAAATTACTTACAATCCGACCGCATTCCCAACATCAACTGCTATTTTACCTTGGGAATAAACACACTCCTTCAGAAGATTACTGACGTTATGAGCACTTTTCTTCCTTCTGACAATAATTTCTGCTTACATTTACAGAAACATGAATCCATACAAACTCTACTGAATTCAACACAATAACTCTGGATCCTTGCTACGTGTCAGCTCCAAAAGTAATGCCTCCTATTTATTTCCAGGGAAAGGACAACAGCTACAAAGAGCACAATAACACTGTTTTCTATCAGAGGGATAACAACCTTTCCCATGAGGAAAGGTTGAGGGAACTGGGATTGTTTAGCCTGAGGAAGAGAAGGCTTTGGGGAGACTCATTGCGGCCTTACAATACTTGAAGGGAGCGTATAAACAGGAGGGGAACGGCTGTTTGTGAGGGTGGATGGTGATGGGACAAGGGGGAATGGTCTTAAACTGAGACAGGGGAGGTTTAGGTTGGATGTTAGGAGGAAGTTTTTCCCCCAGAGGGTGATGAGGCACTGGAACAGGCTGCCCAAGGAGGCTGTGGATGCCCCATCCCTGCAGGCATTCAAGGCCAGGCTGGATGTGGCTCTGGGCAGCCTGGGCTGCTGGTTGGTGACCTGCACACAGCAGGGGGTTGGAACTGGATGAGCACTGTGCTCCTTTGCAACCCAGACCATTCTATGATAGTTTGAGCAAATTCTCAGTTTCAGTAAACTATTTTTCAACACAGTCACCATGAACACCATTGCATTTTCACCAGCAATGAACAAGAGCCTCCACCAGCAAAGGTGATCCACTGTTTCACAGCTGCTGTGATGGCATCGCTGCTTGGAAAATGCTGCCCACGCAGTCCGTCTTTATCGGCTCAAAGCATCGAATGTCAACGGCTGTCATTTTTTCCACATGGAGGAATTAAATTCCACACCTTCGCTTCATACACACCTCCAGGCCATTCTGTCAGACTGCCCCTCTGCTGCCATCTGTCACACAACAACAAAACATAATGGGATACTGGTGGAAGATTCAACCTCTAGTGCCACCCCACCAACATCTGCACCTGATGTTGTGGGCCAACATCATAAAATAGGAGGCATTACTTTCAGAGCAGCCCTCACAGAAAGGAAAAGGTTACTCAATCCAAATAATGAGATGACATGCCCAAGTTTTCCTTATGGAACACTATCTGTACGAGTGCTATTCCTCACTGATAGGTAATTTTTATTGTTGGAATTGTTGGTATTGTTGGAATACATATCTGTGGATACGTCTAGGAAGTAAAACAAAACTGGAAAAGTGCCCAAGCTTCCAATCATATGCATTTTAATTCAAAATCAAAAGTGAAAATGTTCGGTAAAGGTTGGCCGTGTCATTAAAACAAAGGAGCGGGCGCTGGGTAGCAATTCCCTTCTCGGTATTCTGGTTCTCTGCATCTAAAAGCTGAGAGTTATAAAGTTTATCCGCCAACAGAAATGAGTCTTCTTTTGCTCAAGGAGAGAAATTTGGGAAATGTTAAATAACTTCTGCAAAAGAAACAAGTAGGATTATTTTCAGGATCACACTGTTGTTTTGTTTGTTTGTTTTTCCCCGAGAGCACTTTAAACATGTCTGAACACTGAAATGCAATGGTCTTATTTTCCTCTTCCTAGCAGCATGTTTTTGTTCTGCAGAAACCAACACTATACTCCATCAGAAGAGAAAAGTTGAGTCCTTGCATTGGTCCACCAGGAAATCTGTGAAATCAAGGGTTTTTACAGAGAAAAGAAGAAAACGCATCTGTGTCTTCTCAGTGCATCACATCTGAACAACTTCTAGACTACGAAAACCCAAGTTCCAAAAAAGATGAAAGCCCCAAAAATCAAAGTTTGGAAATCACTCAAAAAAAACAAGTTCTTGCCACAAGCAAATGATTCACCTGAGGGTTCTTGAGATGTCATTCCTTGACACGCTAATAACTAAACAGAATGAATAAATCAGCACTACACTCATTCAAGACTGAGTATTGATTCCTGAAATGTACTGTCAGCAAGAAACACCTGATCTGGAGACATCGCCAAATCTGACAGCAATCCTAGAGGAGGCAAAGAAACCAAACAACACTGATGGCAGTTAAACACCATTACTAAGAAACACTTGTCTTTTATAACAGATAACAGATGCATTATTTACTGTGTCGTGTTTAAGTAAGCAAAGCTCTGTTTCCCAACACATGAATCAGGATTGTGAACAGACAGAAAGGGGAAGTCAACCACCAGCTTTACCATCAAAGCAGCAGGCGGTTATCCCTCAAGCCAAGAGAACTAATGAACATGGGCAATGGAGGAAGCCATCAACTGAAATACCTCTGCACAGATAGAACAAGCATGCTCCAGATCAAGCCAAGAACGTCAGGGCTCACTGAGCTGCTCCAACTTTCAGTGGCAGCAGAAGCGACTCTGTTGCTCACAATTTTGCCACTTACATATACTGTTCTCTCAAATTCTGCCACTGATATCACACACATCAGACTGGAGGACTCCTACCTTCTCCCTGAAGGATATTTTATGCCTCACTGCAGGAGTTACTTGGGAATAGTTTGCTACCTCTCTATACATTTGAGCACTTTCTTCCCACCCCTACCTGATCGACACTGAACATCTCTCAGTCTCTAATGCAATGGAAATGCAAACAAAGCCAGGCCCCATCAGCCACACATCCTTCCTCATCGACTGTTGTAGAGAATTCCTTCTCCTTGGGGATTCTTGTACATTTCAGGCATGTCAGGTTGCTCCTTTTCTTGCTCATCAATACGCATGAAGACAAAACTCCTTAAATCACAGTTAGAGGACACATAAGAGCACAACTGCCCCTAGGAACGGAAAACAAGCTACCATGGGGTGCCTGCAAGATTATTTGGACAGCTTTGTGGGTAAGGACATAATCCTGGAGATAGGGGTACACCACTGGGAATCCTATCCTTTACCACACCATTTTGACCTGCAAAAAACTCCCCCCACATCGCAGCTTACATTCCTGCTTTCGCAATCCGGCCCTGTTTTCCGCACTCCCTCTTTTACGCCCTCTACGTCTTGCCACACCTCACTTACCACTTCCTACCATATACATTCCCACAGTCTCACTTTTGCTTATCCGGCCCTGGTCAACCTCACATTCTCCTAACCACAGCCCCAACATCCCAAGCACTGATCCCTCCCTCAGCTTCCCCCTAGAAGCTCTGGCTTCATCACAGCTCTGGCTGCTGCAGACTCTAGTCTAAGTGCAGAAGCTCCATTAACACTAACTAACTACAATTTTTCAATCTGTAAATAGATGTTTTCCTTTGTAATTACTCTCAGGTGCCTTCTCAGCCACTGTCCTTCATGAAAAGGCATAGCATTGTGGTTTGCAATAACATTTACTGCAGGACAAAGATACTGTACAAAACCTTAGCATATTTTAACTCGTTAATCCAAACCCAGATTACTCATAGCACACTGCTCAAGAATTGCATCTTGTAGTTATTTATAATCACTGTGGGCCAGATAAAGCTTCCTTTGCTAATCTTTTGGATTGAGATCCAGTCTCATATTCAAAGCCAAAAGAATAATAAATAAATAACCTGGTTCTCAGAAAGTCTGACCTCACTTTCTAGAAATGACCTGTCATTCCCTGCATTACTGTTATTGAAAGTAAGCAGACTAGGATTTGTAACTTCGATATCTTGAATGCGATCAGCAGCCACACTGCTTTGCACATACCCTCAGCACAGCAATTGTGAGAACACATAGGAAGGGAAAACACTCATTTAGCTCAGCTGCGGATTAAACAGAATGGGAGCAAGCCTCATTTTCTTGTATGGTTCTATTTTTAAAGGTGGATATTATGAGAAACTTGACTATGAACCACCTTCTTACTAGAATATGAGGCCACCAGATACATCCATAGTCAGGTGTCCTGATTAAAAACAAAACAAAAAACAATTGTTTACTCTCTATGACACGATCAGATCTCAATTCTGGACCACATATCAACAATATTAGCCAAGCTCCAATTACAAAGCCTTTGCTGATTTGAATTGCAGATGGAAGGACAAAACCAAGTTGTCCACAAAAAATATTTGTGTTTGTATGCTAACAACTATAAATACAACTATAAATTGATACAGCCAACTGCTTGGAATAGCAATAAAATGTGCACTGCTTAAGCTCTTCCGGAAAACTTGAGTAATGCTGGATTCCTTGTGCAAAAAGGATCATGATATAAACTTATTCTGCACAAATGTGGAGACAAAACTACATGTAGAGCCATGAGGTCATTCTCCAAGTTAATAAGCAAACCACATTTTCTGTTCCGAAAGAGTTCAGCCAAGGAAGTGAACTGAAGTTACCAGTATCTGAAGATGGAAACCAGAAGCAGCTCTCCCGCCTGTGAAAGTGAAATTTTTATTAGCAATAAGGGCACATGGGACAGCTCAGATTATTACCTCTATCTATCTCAATAGATAGACTTTAAGACCGAGTAATTCTGGGAAGCTCCATCTGAAAGAGCATGTATGAACATAGGAAAAAACATTACGAAGGGAGAGACAGCTTGGGATCGTGCTTTAGAGGAATGAACGTGATCAATTCCTTTCCCTTTACCCTAAATATTCAACCCAAAGCAAAACTAGTCAGTCAGGCCATTCATTTTCCATTCCAGTCACACAGTAAGGCTTCATTCACTTGCAACACTGCTCCCTTGCTTAAAAACGTCTAATCATACATTTGTTTTATAAATATTGGGGACATTAATTAACACCGAACAGCAGGAAGCTGAAAATACTGGTGCAAACCCAAAGCTTTCTGTGAAGTTTGCTCTCACCAATAAACTTGATTTAAAGTTTATGAATGCAATTGCAAATCAAGATTACACAATAACTTCCAGAATTCTTAAGAAAGGAATTTATCTTTCAGGATTACTGGAGACAAAACATGACGTCTGTGTTATCATTTTTAGATAAGGAAAGATCATACCACGAAGTTCAAACAAATCAAACCATACAGAACAAATTGCTTTTGCTCTCAAACTGTTCTCCACAAAGATTTTTTGCTAACCTCTAAAAACTTTGGAAAAGTAGAGGTAAGTGTAACTTGCAAATATCTGAAGGCATTTTCTAGGTTTTTGAGTAATAAAATGTGCTTTTCCAAGTTTATAATGGCTCTGTAATGTACCCTGTAGCTACAGACACTGAAGATAAACTGGATTTTTTAACTACACTGTTGAGTATCTCAAGTTTAAGGCATTAGTGATTTGCATTTGTTATGCTTCCCATGTCTGAAAATAAGCATATCTGTGTGCTTCCCATTGAACAAGGCCATCCATAAGCTAATTCCTTGCCCTAGCATTCTCAGATAACACTACATTTCTGATTTGCTTAACTGAAATGGCAGATGAACCCTGTACACATCTGTTGCTATGGTTCTTCTACTTATCCAGTCCACATCTCTTTAAAAGCCTTAGGTAGGAAAGCTCCTGCATCTGCTTAGAAGTAGCTGCAAAATGTGCAAAGTGAAAAGCCATGAGTTTGTACAGTGAAGTAAGTGGACTGCTTGCTCATAGAGATATGGGACTACAAAAATTAGAAAAAAAATCTCCTCGTTCCAGGATTTATTTTTGAACAAATTAACTTGTTTCCACTCCCTGCCCCCATCCCTTCCCCAGGGCCAACAAGTCAGTGGTCCACAGCTGAGGCAGTAGTATTTACAAGTGAAGCTGCTCTGCAATGTCCATGTTTGTTTTGGTCCCTCTGCTGAGAAGCACTGCTTAATCTGAAGAGTGTTGAGGAGGTCAGGTTCAAAAGCTGGTCAGTTCTGGCTCCTCCTGACACTCTGGACACCAGGTTCTGGAAACGAAGACATCATTAATCAAATAATGCCAAATAAGTGACTGCTCCTATTTTGCTGAAGACTTGTGGAGCTGAACAGGCTCTTGTCTACACACTGCTATTATCCAGTTCCATTTGCTTTTTTTTTTTTTTTTTGAATTCTAGTTTACAGAGCACAGGGAACAACCTTTCTTTGGAGATATGAGAAAAATCTTCCAGGCTTTTTCTTTTGCTTAGCCATCGATGATTATCATACTCTTAAGAGAGTCAGAACAACACTTCCTATACATGTAATTCACATCTCCACGACTGTTTACAAGCTACCCTTACCAGGTGAGAGGGAATGGTGAGGTTTCTCTTTCAGTGAAGCTTGCAGGTCCAAACTGCTGACTGTGGGGTCACTGGAAGGAATGGTATTTTCCCAGCCAACCAGGCAATGCTGTGAGAACATAGAAGAATGCAGTATGGCAGCGTTTTCTAAGTATGCCTCCACAGGGAGGCATTGGCAGGTTAGTTAATTTCTTGAGGAGCTTCATATGAAAAGAGAAGGTTCTTCTAATACAGCAAAACTTCCACCTTTCTCTGGCTAATTATTTCTGAACTAATCTCCCACTTTGCGAACTCAAACACCTGACCTCCTTCAACTGGTATCAGCTGACTCATCCTGTTCACCAAACCTCAAACCAAGCTTCTTCCTACCTCTTCACTACAAGGCAAGGCTACTATACCTATTGCAGCATTCTCTAGCAGCTGATATACAGGACCAGCTCTACAAAAACAGTTTCAAATCCAACCCTGCCACTACAAATTTGGCCTGATCCCTACACAATGTGGATTCTTGATAGAAACCTGTCTGTTAAACTCTCTGATATTAGAGAACACTCTCAGGCATGATGCTTGAAACAGATCAGCTGAATGATGTCCCAGCAGTATACACATGGCACTTTTTTTTCCTCAGCATAACGCATCTGAAGAGAAGTTATTTATTTTATGCCAGTTATATGAAGGTGTGAACTCAGAAGCATTCACAAACAGCTTTTCTTGCTGTGTCAGTAACCCAGATCAGAACCTCACCCACCACCACACACACTCCAGAGATCATTCAGAGATCATGCCCAATCTGGGTTGTGCAATCAGTATCTGCAAGAAGGCATCAACTTACCAAAGGTAATGCAAGGCTGTCTGCTGGTTCAAAGCTTTTCCTGCAGTGAGCTTTGTATTTGTAGGCAGGCATAAGAGTAGACCTGGGAATGCTGACCCTGCAACAGGGGGAGTAATTGCACACATGCTCCACAAGGCAAAGTAAATTTACATACCTTATCCAATTCAATGACCTAGTCCCAAAAATGAACAAAGGCAAGCAGCTCATTAGACACTTAAAAAAGTATATTCTAATTCTGGACCAAATTCAAATACAAAAATAATTTCTCACCACCTTCAAAACTGTTTCTGCTTATGGAAAAATTAGTAGGGAGATTTTAAGCAGGATTTTTAAGCTCTCAGCCTTGACAGCAACCATCTGTGGAACCATTTGGACTCTTTTCTACCCAATGCCTCCTGAGATCTGCATATGGCAAAGTAACAATCGCCATCTACCTGACATAGGCTGGCTCTTCCAGTGTCTCTGGGGGCTGGTGGGTACGTGGGACCTTACAGACAGGACAGGCAGAATCTGAATCCATAGGGACAGGAAAGAGGCGCCGGTTTAATCGGTAACAGTAAACACCTGCCACAGAATAATGAAACATGACAGTATTTCTAGTGTGTCAGAAGGTTCCTCAACATTGGCAATATACAGCTGTCTTCTACCTCCGTGCAATACGTGTCTTCTATAGAAACAGTGCTGCTTTCCCTAAAGTATCTTTTACATTTCCTGCCCCAAATAAGTTCCTAAAAAGCAAAACCAAAACTCAACCCCATCAACTAAAAAAGAGAACTGCAGCAAGTTACAAAAAATCCTGACACTGATTTAGAGACAGTGCCTAGAAGACTCGATTCTCTTTGGAGAAGGAAGTTGAGTATGGATTAGAAATCACAGCTACAAATAACACACTCTTCCTCCTCTTAAGCAATGCAGGGCCCACTCAGGATAACAGGTAAAGAATTCTCAGCTGTTTGCTCACAGAAACAGGGTTAGGAAGAAACACTTATGAGAGATCTGGTCTTACATTTATGGGAACTGGCTATCAAGTCTTGTTCAGGAATTATGCATTCCAGAGGCTCAGTCCTAAAGAAACACACAAGCAAACCAGTCAGTGACAGGAGTGCCTGCCCTCCAAACCTACCTTTTCCAAGCATACATTTCTGAATGGGACACAAAGGTCTCCAGAGCCACCCCTTCCCACTACTCAGAACTTCAAAGGGATTCATTGCTGCTTCTGCCCTTCCCCCTGTACCCACTTACTCCATGTGCTGCTCAGAGATACATGCTTCTTTGTTGGCCTGTCGAAACTCGTGGAGCTCAGCAAAATATTGATCAGATTTTTCTTCTACTGAAGAGTTTGTATCCAGAAGCCCTGAGAATGTCAAGGAAAGAGAAAAGTTCAAGGTTTTAGTGAATTTGAGGAAGCAACCAAAGACTCAATTCAAAATGATCAAGAAAGCTAAAGGTGAGGAGAACCAAAGAGAGTAAGGAGAAGACAACATCATAACATCAACTCAGAGATTTCTGCTGTGACCTTGGTTCCTCAGTGCATCCATCCATTTTTGGTTGCTTGCTACCCCTCTAACCTTTGCCATTTGCTGCTTGGATTCTCACACAGTTGCCACTACACTATTTCAGTGAAGCACAGTTCACATTTGTCACGGGTGATGAACGGCTGCTGACAAAACTTCAGCTCCTCTGCTGATCCCTGCTCTGCGGGCTCTAGGCCTGCAATTCTGCCACACTACAATACTAACGGAGGGTAAATCATGTTTTAACTCTTGATACTACCACATCAGCTGAGAGCTTTGCTTCAGGTTTAAGATTCACCTGCAATCCAGTCGTAGCCCAGGAATGGACGCACGGACCAGCTACTCGCAGGCACAGTGTATTCTTCAGGTTCATCTTGAAAAGTCACACGACCAGCTTCCTTCTGGGGAAAAAAACAAAAAACAAAACAAACCAGGAAGACCTCCTATACATCTAGCATGAGATTCGTAGCTACAGCTAGGGAGATAAATAGCAGTTGTTTAAGCAGGACAGCACCAGGTTAGTTTGAGGCTGAAATCTGTCCATAGCTCTAACAGCAATTTGCTACAGCCCTCTGCCTTCTCAATTCACAGAACTGATGTTTTATATGTAGCATTCTCTTGACTCCTCCCCCCATCATTCTACTGACTTATGAAAACAAGCAAGTCTTTGGTTTCACCGCTTACCTTCAACCCTTTGGACTGAGATGTCAGCAGGATTGATTTAGGTGTTGTGGCTTCCTTGGAGGTCTCTGCACTTTGTGTCCTGTTTGCTGATGGGTCCAAATGACCCCTAAGCTCATTCTTCTCACTGGAACCACAAGGAAGAGTGGTCTGTCTTCTGTTCTTTTCACGTCCAAGAAGGAAGGAGCCTTCCTCTGCACTTCCTTGAGCATGGCTATCCCCAACCAGTCCACAAGTTTCTCTCTCACATGTAATGACTGCAGGCACAGGTATAAGATTTTTCTCTTTAGCAGGAAAACAGGATTGCAAAATTGATTCCTGCATCCTCGTTTGTTGCTGCACCCCTCTGTCATTGCTGCTGTGTTTGAGTGATGAACAGAGGGCTGCTCTGGCTGTGCAAGCTCTGGGTTCCACAGACACCAACGTTGCAGGATCATGCTGTGTGAACACACGATCAACTTGATTTTCCTTCTGTAAGAATAAAGACACTTCTACCACATTGCACCATTAAGAGTACAAGCATTTTTTATTAGGCCAATTTACTCAGCAAGAGAAGCATCAGCCTCTCAGCTTGGTCTGCTCACCCCTTAAATTTCTGTTGGGAAAAACATAAAATCTTAATGTTATCCATGAGATCACTATTAAGTGTTTGGAGACGATAAGAAAGGGATTCATTTATAACTAAATGCAGCTCATTCCCAAGCCGAGAAACTGCCAAAGTTTCAGCCTTTGTGCTCTGAAGAAACAAAAGGATTTTGTTCCATGATAATCCTTCCTATCTCATGTTAAAAATCCCACATTCGTCAGGCAGCAGCCGATCTCTGAACTCTCTGCACTGAGAACACATCTGAGACAAGAAGACAAACAACAAAGGTCTAGCTACTGCTCGGATGGGCTCTATATTTCATATTCCACCAGCTGCTTCATGTTCTTGTGTCTCCATCATGCTGCCCTATAGGCAGAGCTACTGCCTACCTACCATATGAGGCCCATTTGATACTCAGCACTTTCAGCACAGACCTAACACATACCCCTCTCTTGGGCAAGGGGACAGATGCTTCAGCAGTTGCTCTATTATAAAGAGATGCTGGAAGAAGCGGCTTGCTGGGAAGACTTTTTCTTATCTCTTCCTGCTTCACTCTGAGCCTTTGTAGAAGGTCCTGGTTGGCCTGACGCAACCTGAGGTGCTCTGACTCCATCCTATGGACGTGTCCTCCTATAAAGCCAGAGGAAGGGTGAACTGCATGAATGGAGGTATGAATTGAAGGAGCAGACATGGGAAAAAAAAAAACAAAAAAACAACATTACACTTTCAGATGACTTTTCATAAAAGTCACAGGGTTTGTTGGGAGTTTTGATCTTTGAACGTTATCTTTGAGAAATCAGCCAGCTTCAAAACTCCTTATGCTATGAACCAGCACCGCTGCATACATCTCTGACCCCCACATGTACTCAAGTATTTTCTACTCAGAGACTGGCATATGATTTAAATAGAGGCAGGAAACTCTGACATGGAAAACAGTAAACATGAAATGTCACATGTCACAGAAAACCAGATGAAAGATGTTTCAGATATCTAGAGCAATCATACATGAATCCACTTTAGACTTATTTTCAGAATTCATAGTCTGATGATACCTAGACACTCACTCAACACACAAACAGTATTTCTCTTTTAGTACAGCCAAAACAAAGTCTAAAGTGTCCTCCACGGTCCTCAGGCCGGAAGACTTCAAAATGCTCTGTCTTTGGCAAAAGCTATTAGTCAGGGGCTCCTGTATTACTATGTTTCCCTATGATCTCTGGTTCGAAAGGGTCCCTAAACCTTTTCCTAAAGTTCATCTGATTTGTTTTTGTTACCTTGGCAACATTAGGAACCAAACACACACACTGTACAACAGGGGGGGGGGAGGGTTGGGAAGGAAGGAGTGTTAATAATTGAAAAACCCACAGCACGTTTTTGTTCCAGTTACAATAAGGGTGCACAACTGGATGCCTTATAGAAATATCTGTCTTGAGACACTATGTTTCTTTGAGATGATTTAAGCAAAACAAAAGTTCTCATGGTATTCCTAGGACAGAGCTAACAGCATCCCCTCATTGTTGCTCATTAGAAAGCCCATACTCAGAAATTAACATTAGTCACAGGACTTTCTGGAAGGGTATTTACCAGACGAGACCCATTCTTCGCACAACCAACATGAAGCTGCCGAGCACAAGCCCAAGGCTGAAGCTTGTGAAAGCGCTGCAGTTACAACATTTTGAGAAAGGGAGCTACGCCTCGGGAACGAAGTAACCGTATCTCCAGCAACAGCTCCGCAGCGCTGCCCAGGCCCGGTTCCGGGCAGCACAAACTGGGGCGGTGCTTCTTTCCCTGCCCTCCTAAGAGGCGAGCCTGGTAGACTCGACAACCCCCTCAGCCCCGTGCAGAGCACCGTGTGGGAGCAGCGAGCTCTGACCCTCCCCGCGCCACGCTGCCGGGCCCACCTGCGCCGCACAGCCGGGGATCCCCGCCCTCGCTTCGGGCTTCCCCCGGGCAGCCCCGGACCCGCCGCCGTTCCCGCAGCGCAGCGGCCTCCGGGCATGCGCGGGGACAGCGGCTCCGCCTCCCGGCGGGGACAAAACAGGAGTGGAGGCAGAGGCCCGCTGATGCTCTGCTGGGCGCGACCGGCGGCCCCAAGCGGCAAGGAAGGGAGAAAACAGCTAAGTGTGAGAACGTCTTGCTGGAACGTCCTTTTCCGGAACGGAGAATGCTGATTCACCGCCGCCAGTCTGTTAACGCAGTATTTGCTGAACGTTACTTCTTCGAATATTCTCGAGAAGTCAGAGCCAGGCTTGACATTTTTAGTGTGTCTTCATAATGTCAAAACCTCAGATCATTCAGCACCGTCGCTCTCTTCTTTTTCACTGTGAAAACAGATTAAAGGTCACTACCACGTATGCAGTTTCCCACGGCAGTAGCACGTCACCCTCTGGAGGACTCACCTGGAGAACTACGTCCACATGAGGGGTCCTCAGTACAGCAGAGATGGAGAGGAGGGCCACAGCAATGCTCCCTGATGGAACGTGAGGACAGGCTGAGAGCTGGGGCTGTGCAGCACGGAGGAGAGAAGGCTGCAGGAGAGCTGAGAGCAGCCCGTGTGTCTAAAGGGGCTGTAAGCAAAAGGGGACAGACTCTTCAGCAGGGTGTGTGGAGATGGGACAGGGAAATGGATTCCTGCTAAAAGAGGGGAGACTCAGGTTGGATATAAGGAAGAAGGGAGGTGAGGCACTGCACAGAGTGTCCAGAGAGGAGGTGCAGGCACCCAAGGTCAGGGGATGGGGCTGTGAGCACTGATGGAGCTGTGGGTGTCCCTGCTCAGTGCAGGGTTGGACCTGATGGCCTTTAGGGTCCCTTCCAGCTCCAACCATTCTATGGCCCAAATGCATCATACTTACACTTGCAGACTTTGAATCAAGATACACAGAACACAGCAGGAGAAATACTTTTTCCAATTCATTTTTATTTTGGTTTCCACTGCTTTTACAGCATTGATACAGGAATAATTCATGCAAATTTATCACCTTAAATACAGCAGAGAGAAAACTCACTGGTAAGAGTATTTCGAAGAGCTCCATCAACATAACACAATGAAGGTACATAGCAGCAACAAGATAAAGTGCACTGAGCTGTCGCCCTTAGATAAGAGCTTGGGGAAGACTGCTTTTAGAAGTACCTAAATTCCCAGGATTAGTTTATTATTTCTAAAGAAAAGCAGAAGATAACCTGCTTGCTAATAGTGTTCATTCCTCCACCAATCTGAATTACGGAAGTACTGTGTTGGAAGGTCTTTCTGTTAGAAGTCTGATTTGTGATCAACCAGCTGCTATTGACAGGGTTACAGATGCACTTGAACAACACTTATCTCCCATGTTAGCAGTTTTACTTCTTACAAAATCCAGGCAGTTCTTTCCTCCGTTCTATCTGTTAGCACTACAGTGAGAGCACCTCCATCACCAACATCTGAGCAGCACCACAAACACGCACTGCCAAGACACCGCGTTCTGAGAACACACCAATCTCTTTGCCTTCACAAATCTGACCCCAGCTCTGAAGATCAGCTCACTGATCAACTTCCTCTAAGGCCTGCTGAGATCTAGCAGCACGTCTCCAAGGGCGAGGCCAGTACTTCAGGTAGTCAAGAGTTGCTGACCAATGCATCATCTCCTTCTGCCTGGAACTGGCAGTTTCCTGTTCTACCAGGGATCTGCTTCATGTTTTAACTCAGCACTGTACACTGCTTGTTATAAATGTGCATGTAATAGCCTGGGAGACAAAGAGCTCGGCTGTAGGTATTGTGTGAATTCAGAGTAATAGCCCACAGTGCCACTTGCTCCAGCGTACTTCACTACAAGCCCAGAGAACACAACACCAAAGGCAAGGACTCACATTTCTCTCTCAGCCATTCTCAGTTCTGATCCAAACCACACTTGTGTACTGGTGGCTCCCTGAGGAAACTGAACACAGCCAATGAAGTGCTCTCTAATGAAAATAGCTTCCTGGTTTGGGCTGAATTCAAAGCTGTCCTCTGAAAGTGAAAGCTGCATATGCTTCTTGCTTTTCAGGGTCACAATGAGAGTCTGCCAGCTCCAACGTAACCAAGATAATTCAAGCCTTACTGCAAATCTTAACACAGCCTGAAGTACTTACTGCCACTTCACTATTCTTTCCTTGAGTGTCAGGCAACTTCTTTCTGGAGCCTCACATGAAGCAGAGAACGTGTCACAGCACATATATTCATACCTGAGCATGAATGAGGAATCCTAAGGCTAGCCGATTTCATTTTCAAGTGAAAAATCTCACTGTTGTATAATAGAACAAAAAAGAAGCACCTTAGTACTCCCAAATTCAGCTGTCACTTGCTCACAGATAATTCATATTCTCCACTGTTTGATTCTGAACAGATTTAGGTTGACCCTAACCCCAGAAATGCAGGATTAATTCTGGATTATGGAGAGACATTTTGTGGGCTATATAAAGATCATCCCCAAAACGTGGTAAAGTACATATCCACCAAGTGGAAAATAAGTCTTGCAGCACAGGAACCTGATCCTGCTACTACTGAAATCAGTGGGAATTCTTCTGCTATCAATTCCAGAAAGAAGAGGCTCCAGTCCTCACAATGCCCAAGTCTCATAATCAAAATTAAGAATTGTTTCAGGGCAAAACTCAATTAATTTCATCTATTTGTAAGTAAAAGACATCTGGGAAAAGAAAAAAATGACTTAACCCATTCTTACCCCAGCATTAAATAGGAAGGATAGGTCTCTATCATCATCCTCACACTTTTAACAGAAACAAATCTCATTACTGCATGGACTTGGATCATCCTATGGGAACTCTGCATGAAGTGAAATCTCTTACAGCGTGTGATCCCTGTGCTGCCCTCATGGCCAGCTAATGGTAATGGAATTCCAAAGGCCTGCTTCCAGAAACACTGCTGTGCAATTACCAAACCCCACATTCATCAGCCTGTCTCACAAGGCAACCTGTCAACTGATTCATCTTTTCATTCCTAATTTCCTTCTTCAACAAACTGTTAATTATCATCACCACTTCCTTCATAGCAGCTTGCTATGGCTTTGCAAATTAGCTGCCTACAATGTGAAATGAGCCAGACTGCATTACTGAAGAGCTCTGAAGAGGAAGAAATTAACTCAGAAGACAATAAAGGTACCAAAGCAAAAATCTTAGTCCCTTTTGCTCTGGAAGAGAACTAAGTTTTGTTCACAGGTTTAAACGTGCTGACAAAAATAAACCTGTCAATGAAAATAAACAGTGCAGCAGATCTCTGCCATGTTGTACAATAACAGAAGAAGAAGCTAGGAGATAGGTTTGCACAGGCTACGAAAGTGCTGTGAAACTGTTCTAACTGTGTGCATAAGATTGCTGTTTAGAAAAACAGCTGCTTGTCACATACATAAACTTGGGGCTTTGAAGCCAAAAGCTCCACCTTCATGTAGTAAGATGAATGACTCCATTAAAAATGATGTGTTAGAGTAACTTTTAAACTGATGAACACTTGTTTATAGAATTCACTGTTACTGTACTTCATTTTGATTTTAGAAGCCCCCTGTAAATGTACAAAGCACACATTCCTTCCAACGTAGCTTGTTCTCCTAAGCAGGAAAAGAAGAGCTGCAACAGCTAGTGTTGAAAGGTGGGACACAAAACAAGGATGCTGAATCCTACTGTCCACACAGCAACTGGAAACTGGCAGGAGCCTTTTGCTCATTCCCTTTAGGGATTCCATCACCCACCATATTCTCTGCAGTAATTGAAGGAGCACTGAAGGGAAACAGCGTTGTTTTTCTCCTCTTCCCACACTATCTGCTTTGCTGCAGGTACTGATGTGTGAACATGTTAAGTTCACTATCGAGCCAACCCGCCTTATTCCTGGAAAGACAAGAAGTCTCTGTTAGGTGAATAAAATCATTCTTCCCAAGGCAATCTGAAAGAAACATGAATAAGACTACTCCACAGCAAGGCATGCAGAGGAATGCCAACGGTCCTTGTCTCCTTCAGGTCAGGAACACCATCCTGCCAACAATCCCCAGCTTCAAGGCTCATAGTGAGATCTTGGTCACAACTTTAAACTGGTCTTATTATTTGTGTTGGGTAAGGTGTGTTAAAAAAAATTATCCCCAACAGCTTTTGCAGGGTGAAGACAAACATCAGACTCAAATCTGTGCAATGGCAAGGGTGAGACTTTTTAGATGATTTTCTAATTGCCTGGAAAAGTTTGCAGGAGTAGAGGACTGTACATTTTGGTAAACAGACAAGAACTGTAATTTTGTACTAACTAGAAGTAAGAAGGAAATGGGATTTTTATGAGACAAAAGATTTAAATGACTGTTCAGATTACATGGGCTGAGCATCTCTCCTTCTTCTAACAAGTTAAAATAACAAAAAGCACTGCTGACCAACACCTCAATATCCTTTCTCACCCAATAATCTAAGTGACTTTTCTTTCTACTTGAGGCTGCAGAGTATTGTTTTGATATTTCTACCAGACATTTTAATACATTGCAGAAAATTGTTTTCCATGTAACGTTAAAAAGGAACACAATACAAAAAGATGTTGATGTCTGCAAATCAAACACTATGATGAAAGAAGGGCTGCCCTCAGAGGTGCACCCTCATCTGAGCATCTTGGGGCAACCACAGGAAAACCAATTATATGCACATGTTTGTGTAGTAAGAAAATCTCACCTCAGCAATTTTGCTTTGCTCTGCAGTGAATCCAAAACTTCAATTTTCTTATTCATGGCAGAAATTTCCTGCTCAAGATTCTCCCGTGTAACATCCACTTGCTGACATAACTGAGCAAACGTTCCAGCAAGCTCTCTGTGAAACAGGAAGAACAGTGTAAAGTAAGAATGAAACACAGAATTCAAGGAATAAATGCCTTTCATGAGTGGTGATGACACTGACTCAGATGCAAACATCTTTCCCTTCTGCACAAGAACACGTTAGAACTGTCAGAGAAATGTGAGACTGAAGTACTAAGACTAGAGCTTTAGAAAT